AGAGAGAGAGAGAGAGAGAGAGAGAGAGCTGTTATTTATGCAATCAATGCAATAATAATCGAGTGTAAACGTCGTTACAATTTTTAAATAGATTTTATCTAAATTTAAATATAATTATTAAAGTTAAAATTCTTAATTTATTTGTTAGTTTATTGTTTAAATATAGAATTAATAAATCCGATAAACATTTATTCAATTTTTCTGTAAAACTTTTTAATGAATTATCACTAAATGTAAGAAACGAATGTAATTTTAACAAATTTTTAAATTTAATTAATAACCATTTTAATGAAATTTGATCTAACTTTCAATGACATGTTCTTTGAATAAAACTTATTATTATTATTAAAGTTATTTGTAAAGCTCAATATTTTTATTCAAATAGCAATTAAACTCAATATTATTTATAATTTTCTTATTAGTTTATTTGTGTAATTTTAAAATATAATAAAATTGTCATTAAGAATATATTTTTAAAGTGTTGTAATTTTATTAAAAATTACTTTTAACTTTGCAATTGCAAACTCTCTACAAACAACTGTCATCAAGATCAAATCTGATTTATTAAGCTTCCGGTAAACTTCTAACGGCAGCGATAAACGGAATGGCAAACGATCTAGATCGGCGTTGAGATTTTAGTTTTTTTGGTGGTCTATCTGGTTTTTGGAAAAATACATATTATTATCAAACTAACCATGTAAAAAACAGTAATATTTTACAACAAATGACCTAGTTTAGCGCATTTATCCAAACCATCGGTATAATCGCTACAAAACGCATCAACAGTGTTGCCAGTAGTTGACCGGATAAATGATAGGGTAGACTCCAGCGCATCGGGCGAACATTGTGGGACACCCTGTACTTTATCCGTTATACAGGGATATACATCGAACAGTGAGCTGTGGCAAAAATAAATTATAACAAGCTCATATTCTTGTTCATATTTGCTAGTCTATATTTGAAAAATTATTAATTTTTAACTATGTAACTTAAAAAACTTTACATACCAACACATCCAAGGTACTTTTTTAGCATGATCGCTAGATGTCTGTATGCCAAGCAGTTTATCAATGAATTCAGTGTAGCATTTGTTAATCTATTATGGTGTAAAAGTGTAAACAAAAATAAAATTATAATGATACAATTAATAAATGTATTATATATTATTTAAAAATTAATTGCCTGGTTATTTGCCCCATTGGCGCACTTGGCAGCGCTTAGAAGCTTGGTCAAATGTTTTGATTTATTTTTACAAAATTGTTTTAATGCATTTTTAACACTGTATATTAACACACCGCCCACCTGTTTATCCGCAGCGTCCAGACATTGATTACGGTATTTATCTAGATCTTTCAGCAATTTTTCCGTTTCACTTGTATTATAAAAATTTTAATATTTTATAATATTTTAAGTTTATGTATTTTTATAAATTTGTACCACAATAATATTTTACCAATTTTTGTCAATTTTTAAGTATAAATAATAATTATTAATTTTAACATAATAAGTTTTCATATACTAGTAGATAGTATATTACTTACTCGCAAAATTTTTTCAATTCCGACCCTGGTCGTTCAGGGAACTTTCTACCAGAATTACCAATAGTCATTAATCTGGCCACGTTGGCATCGTACTTTTTAAGTCCATTGGAGTTACATTGTTGGGCTAATACCATATATGCAACGGTTAAAATATATAACAAGATTAAAACACACAATTTAACCATTATTAAATTAAAGCATTTAATATGAAATAAAGCTCCTCTATATTAAACAATTATTATAGTCATGTTAAAACATAGCAATATTTGTAAAGTCCTTGATTTTAATGTATTTTACTTTTAAAAAGTTTTTATGTTTTGTAAATCAATAAAAATAAACACTATCATATAGTTTTTTATTTTATTAAAATCAAGTATGTACAATAATTTGCGTATATTTAACTGTTGCATATACATGAATATGTTTATTTTATAAATTATACATTTAAAAATTAGCTTCTTAATATTAATTTCACGTATTGACAATTACAAAATTTTCTAATATAAAACTCAATTCTGTACAAATATTTATGAAAGTCTATAATGACTCTAGCTGTTTATAAATTATGTATTAAATAATGTAAACTATCTTAATTTAATGATAGGCTAAAAATACTAGAAACCTATTTAACAAAAAATTAATTGATTTATAAGTGTAATTATGCTCATTTTTACTATATATTTCTTTATAATTACTAGAGCAAAAATAATTTTCTTAACTTATTATAATAATTGAACTTAAAACAATAACTTTATTAATAATAAATATTTGACATTTATATTTATTATTTTAGATATTTGACAAATCTTTAAATGAATTATATTACCTAATACTATAATTATATAATAATACATATTTTGTCTTAATATACTTAAAGCGTGGTTATATTTTTATTAAATAAACTCACAATTAATCAAATATAGCCAATGTTTATTGAGTTTATATCAATGGTTTCAAAAAAATAATAATTACCGTAGTTATTGTAAATGTTCATTTGTGTTTTTCATTCTTATTAGTAAACAACTGTATATAAACATTATTTTATTATTTTAATATGTTACTATTATGATCATAATTGCTATTGAAAACAACAAATTACCCAAATAGTTTTGATTATAAAAACCCATAAAATATCAATTATTATTTAATATTAAATGTGACAAATATATATTATGTTAATCATAACATATAATATTATTTATAATCGCATTAAAATCTTGATAGAATTTATTTTGCTGCAAATCCAAAACATAATTAACACGTAATCAATATAATAATATAGGAATGGTCAAAATTAGGCCACTTCGGGAAAGCCCTTCAACACATCGATTAAAGCAATTGCAAATGATTTCGTCCGGCGCTGGGATTTGAGTTTCTTAGGGTGCGGCTCTGGTTTATGAATAATTATATACAAATTAATATTACTTTTAATAATTAAACTTTATATAATTTGTAATAAAATTTTCACCTAGCTGCTCGCATTTATCGGAGCCCTCTGAAAAGTCGCCACAAAATACGTCTACAGTATTACCGACGGTTGAACGCACTAAGGTTAACATGGCGTCCACACTATCCACTGTGCATTGTTTGACACCTTGTACTTTGTTTGCCAAGCAGGGATATAACTCAAATAATGAACTAGGACAAAATATAAAATAATAATACATGGTTTTATATAATTATTGAAACTAAAATTGCTTCTCGTTTAATTAAACATGCAATAATATTACCAACATAACCATGGTATCTTTTTCTTGTCATCGTCCGATGTTTGAATACCGAGAAATTTATCGATTAAATCCGTATAACATTTATTTATCTTAAATATGTAAGTTTGTTATAAATTAATTATGACCAGGAAATGTGATTAAATTAGATACCTGGGTATTTGCTGTGTTGGCGCATTTAGCGGCACCCAGCAATTTAGTCAGTTGTTTTGAATCCCGTTTGCAAAACCGATTAATCGTATTTTTAGCCGAATATATTAAAACGCCGGTTATTTGTTTGGGCATATTGTCCATGCACAAGTTTCGCTGTTTTTCTATTTCCCTTACCAATCTCTCAGTCTCGCTAAAATACATCGCGATAAAATATATTTGATTTACATTGTATTTAATTAGGCATTAAGTATAGTAATAGTAATAATTTATTACAAAGGTCATAGTAAAAATTACTAATAAACATACTCGCAATATTTTTTCAAATCTGAGCCACGTCGTTCCGGAAACTTTCGCCCTGAATTGCCAATTGTTATTAATCTGGCCACTTTTGCGTCAAACCTTTTCAACCAACCCTTCTCACATTTACCGGGCAAACCGTAAATGATTGAGGTTGTAGTTAACAGAGTCAAAACTAATAAATTCATTTTCACCATTATGTTTTTATGATATAATTTTTATTTAAATTAGAAACACTCTAGTGCGAAATATAAAATAGTCTGTATTTTATATAATCTGGGACTTAAATAATAAACGACTAAAAATAAACCTTGATTTTAATGATAATTATTTTCTTTGTCTATTTATATCAATTTGAGAATTTGGATAAAAATATTTTCGAGTAACTTTACTAATAACAAATAATTATTGTATCTTAAATAGGTTTATTATTTAGCTAACTCTAACTATTAGTTACAATATTGTATTATTTGGTCACGATTTATTTACCTAGTTTTCTACTCCTAATATTACATGTATATTAAATAATTGTTAAACTATGCACAAGTACAGTTGAAAATATTCAATATCAAACCAACAGTGTCGTTAATTCATTGTTTTAAATCAATAAAATAATATAATAGTTTATTCAATTCAAAAACATGCCTTAAATAATACATAAATATTTATAAAAACAAGTTGATTATAATTAGTTATTAAGTTTACAAAATTAAACTTTACAAGTTATATTTTTTTGATAAGTCATTATATAATTGTGAAGCGTATACTATATATACTATACTTCAGGAAAGCCCTCTAAAACGGCAATCATAGGCGAAACAAACGATTTGGTCCGTCGTTGAGATTTTAACTTTTTTGGAGGTGCCTCTGATTTTTAAAATAAACAAACATGATACAAATGAATACTAATTAGTTGCAATAGCAAATTAACATTGTTTTACCTAGTTTGTCGCATTTATCTGAACTCTCTGTATAATCACCGCAAAATACGTCCATGGTGCTTCCGGTAATTGAGCGCACCAGGGTAAGCAAATCTTCTATTGTGTCTGGCGAACACCGGTCCACACCTTGTAACTTGTTTGACAAGCACGCAAACAATTCATATGTTGAGCTAGGTAATTATTATGAAAGGTAAAATTTAATATAGATGTTAGCCTAATATACGACAATACTTACCAGCATAACCATGGTAACTTTTTCTTGTCATCTTTACCATTTTTAATGCCAAGAAATTTGTCAATCAATTCGGTGTAACACTTTCTTACCTAAATAAAAATTACAATTTATTTATGACATAATAATTTTAATCTATTATAACCAAGTTGGCATGTATATTTTTTAAACAATTCTACCTGCGTGCTGCCTGAGTTGGCGCATTGACCTGACCTTAGTAATTTTTCAAAATTTTTGGACTCGGGTTTGCAAAAACGGTCAAATCCAGCTTTTGCTGAATACACCAAAACGCCGTTTAGTTGCTTGTTCAAATTGTCCATGCAATTGTTGCGCCGCCAATCAAGTACACCAAGTAATCTAGTACCTTCGCTATTTATTAAACATTTAGATTAAACACATTAATAACAATATTAATATATTATACTAATATTGCTATAATCCAGAAAAACTACCATGATACTTTATTAAATGTACTTACTCGCAAAATCTTTTCACATCAGCACCACGATTTTCGGGAAACTTTCTGCTAGAGCCCACCGTAATTAATTTGGACACGTCTTCATCTTGTTTTTTCTGCCAACCCTTTTCACATTTACGTGTCTGTCCATGCGCCACCATGTATATATTTAATATTGTAATTAAACTCACTAACAATAGCTTGGTCATTTTGTAATTGAATAAGTTTAATATATTAATTAATTTTGTGTATCACTTAATAAATCCTTTATACTAAATAAATTTTACACTTTATGTATGAAGTGGAAATTTTGTGTGAAATTGGCCTTGATTTTAATGGTTAATTTATGGATGCTCTCTCTCTCTCTCTCTCTCTCTTTCTTTCTTTCGTCCGGCGTTTTAATATATTCGGCTAAAAATACGATTAATCGGTTTTGCAAACGGGATTCAAAACAACTGACTTTCTCTCTTCTCTCTCTCTCTTCTTTCTTTCTTTCTTTCTTTCTTTCTCTCTCTCTCTCTCTCTCTCTCTCTTTCTTTCTCAAAAACAGGTATCAAATACTTTCTCTCTAAAAAAGAATTTTATTTTGCTATAAATGTATGCTATTATTATAAAGTACATGTATATAAGCAAATTATATGTAAGAAGTTAATAATAAGTCATTTTAATTAATGGTGTTTATTTAAATATTTTCATTAAATCATGCTTATGTATATCAATTATAATCATGCGATTAATTTAAAATATTTAACAGAAAATATATTTATGTAAAGTTGAATTTGCGTTTATCACGATAAACCATTATAGCAAACTTAATTTGTTTTTTAAATTAAGTATTATTTAAATTGCAAATAATTATGTTTACTTATTAAAAACAATATAATATATTAAACTATTCATGGTTAGACTTCGGGAAATCCCTGCAGAACGTCAATCATAGGTACGGCAAACGATTTTGTCCGGCGCTGAGATTTTAATTTTCTTGGTGGCAAACCTGGTCAAATTAAAATTATTGTAAATTTAATATAATTAATTAAACAGAATATAATATTCATTTTTAATTCTAATATTAACCTAGTTTATGGCATTTATCTGATTCTTCTGTATAATCACCACAAAATACGTCCACGGTGTTTCCGGTTACCGATCGAATGATGGTCATCAACGTAACGATATTATCATCTGAGCATTGTTGCACACCATGTACTTTATTTTCCACACATTTTAATCCATCAAATAGGGAACTAAAGTAAATTTTTTAAAATTTTATATTCACGGTTATCAATTTTATTTAACAATTACAATATATAATAAATGCTTACCAACACAACCATGGTAACTTTTTATTATCCTCGTTTGATGTTTGTATACCAAGTATTTTATCAATTAATTTTGTGTAACACTTATTTATCTAAATCATTAAAATATTAAAACCAAACATACATAATCAAAAATCAAATTATGACCAAATACTGTATTATTAATTTTAATTAATAAATATTAATGCATAATCTAACCTGGTTATTTGCGGAATTTGCGCATTGAGCTGCGCCCAATAATTTAGTCAACTGTTTTGAGTTAGGTTTACAAAACTGTTTGAGTGAATTCTTACCAGCGTATATTAAAACGCCTGATATTTGTTTTGGCATGTCCAACATACAATCGTTGCGTTGCTTTTCAAGTAGCTTGATCAATCTGTCATTTTCGCTAAAAACAAAATAAACAATTTTTATAAATTAAGCCTGGTTACTAATTTTAGCATATATTAATTAATATATAAATTATGATACATTACTTACGAACAAAATTTTTCCAATTCCGAGCCCCTTTGTTCGGGAAACTTTCTACCTGAATTGCCCACGGTTAATAATCTGGCCACGTTCGAGTCAAACCTTTTCAACCAGCCAGTTTCACATTTGTTAGTCTGACCATTTATGATCAAAATAAGATTTATCAAATTCAAGCTTAATGTAATTAACTTGATCATTGTATATTATAAAGTTGATTCTGAAGAATTGTTAAGATTTTTATTTGCTAGTTATTTATATAATAAATATTACCATTTCACATAATATTAAAGTATTTGTCCATTACCCATTAAATAATACCTTGAATTTAATGAATATTTTATAGGTTTATTTTTGTAGCTAAAAACGAATATCGTACATATTGGCTTAAATGAAAACCTATTTTATTCACTATGAGTACGTGTAGCTAGAATTCTGAAACTGGTTTCATAATTTAAGTTGACATCTCTAGGCACCAGAATTCAAGTTTCATCAAGATCGGGTGATATATTGGCTTAAATGAAAACCTATTTTATTCACTATGAGTACGTGTAGCTAGAATTCTGAAACTGGTTTCATAATTTAAGTTGACATCTCTAAGCACCAGAATTCAAGTTTCATCAAGATCGGGTGAATAGTTTAAGAACAGAAATTTTTCAAAGTTTGTTAGTCGGAATTATTTTGGAAAATTTACAACAAAATATTTAACTAAAAATTATTTCATTTTTAAAGTGAAAATATTTTTACTAAAGATGTGTTTGAAGTAATTTGGTTATTAGGATTCACTATTAGTTATCTGACAATAGTTTAGTGTAGATATCATGACATCAATTATAACGGGAATCAATTGCAAACCCACCGAACACAAGCCGTTAATCGGGTTAATCGCCGATTTTTGTGTGGCCACAGTTGGGGTAGCGGTCAGTGTTGGCCAATGAATAGCATACCGTTATATTCATTGAATAATGAAGGTCTCAGAAGAGTAGGGGTTTTGAATTAACTGTATTAGTATTTGAGCATGATCAATTTAACTATGATTTCAACCATCAATTAATACGAAAACGGACCCCCTCCCATAGGAATACATTAAAATGAGTGACATACTTTGAAAAATTCCTGTTCTTAAACTATTCACCCGATCTTGATGAAACTTGAATTCTGGTGCCTAGAGATGTCAACTTAAATTATGAAACCAGTTTCAGAATTCTAGCTACACTTACTCATAGTGAATAAAATAGGTTTTCATTTAAGCCAATATATCTTACAAATTTTGCATTATTGAAATACATAAGTTAAAAATATAGCTATGTGTACAAGTAATAAATTTTATAATCATTATTCTGACAAGTATCTATTATTATTTATTTGCGTTTAGATTTATTTATATATTATACCCTTATATAATAGAAACATTTGTTCAATGCAAAAACAATATTCTGAATAATTATTTGCAGTTTATGTCCAAATAAATGTTCACATAATGATCATGGCCATTAAATTTCGGGGAACCCTTTAAGTACGTCAATTATGGGAATGGCAAACGATTTAGTCCTGCGCTGGGATTTCAGTTTTTTAGGCGGTTTTTCTATCATGGTGAATTATCATTATATTAAGGCAATTGTTAATTAAATTATTAATAGTATTAAATTATACATTACCTAGCTTATCGCACTTATCGGAACCCTCGTTGTATTCGCCACAAAAAACATCCATGGTGCGGCCGGAGACTTGACGTACCATGCTGAAAATCACTTCCTGCCGGTCGTGCGTACACTGTTTGACATCTTGTAAGTTGTCCTGAAGGCACGTTATTATATCATAAACACCACTACAAAATATATAGATAACAAGTTTTCATTTAGGTTATTATTATGCAATATTCTGTAGGCTTAATTGTGACTGGTTGATTAATTACCAACATAACCATGGTATTTTTTTCTTATCCTCCTTGGATGTTTGTATACCAAGTAGTAGATCAATAGCCCGAGTGTAGCATTTATTCATCTAATAGATTTTATAGAAAATACTACATGATTAATTAAAATTAAACAAAATATTATATAAGAAATTGCCATAATTAATGACAAAATTATAATTATTAATTGATAATGAAAAATTAAAAATCATATATAACTTTATATATACTTTGTATATAAGTTACCTGGGCGATACCAGCGTTGCCGCATACACCAGCGTCCAATAACTTATCAACACTTTTTGAGCCTTTACGGCAAAATTGCTTAATCATAGATTTACCCGAGTATAATAAAAAGCCAGCCACTTGTTTGGGCATATTATCCATGCATTCATTACGGTAATCCTCAATCTCTTTAACCAATCTGGTAGTTTCACTATAATATAATAGTTAATAGTAATTATAATATTGCAGCAAGCTCGGTATAATTATTATTAATATCAATACTAACTCGCAAAACTTTTTTAAATAAGGACCTCGATCCTCGGGCAATTTTCTACCCGAACTACCAACCACAACTAGTTTAGCTACATCTGAGTCAAACTTTTTTAGTCCAATAGGGCCACATTGTGTTGCACAATATACCAACAAGGTGACATTAAATAACACTATAAATATCACGTATATGTTGCTTAAAATTGACATTTTATTATTAAATGTTTTATTAAACAATTTTATTTTTACCATAATAAACGAATATTTATATGTAAAATAAATGACCTTGATTATGAATCAAAACACACCTAACAAATACTATTTTGAATACCTAAAAGTTTTTTATCCTTTTCTATTGTGATCAATGAGAAAATAAATGTTCATAAATAACAAAATTTGATAACCCATGATAGGTATTTTGACAATTTATATTTTACAACATAATAGTTCTATGAAAGATATAAATTTACTTTGGCAGGGAAATTATCATGTTTGATATAAAAATTACCAAATAATATTGTATGTATGTATTTATTTTAATATTTATAAGATTATACAAGATTGAAAATTACCACAAAGTTTAATGTATAAAAGAATAATTAAATAAAAATACACTAGCTATAGTCAATACCAAAAAATGGTAAAATAGTTGTACTATCATTGTGTTTATTATGATATTTTATCATGATACCAGAAAAAATATATTTATTTTATCCATGTGATTAACGTATATATCAAAGGTAACGAAGGTATGACAAATGTCATTATAACCACATATACTGGGGTATTAAATCGGGGTATGACTGTAGCGCTTATATCTCTGGGAATGAGTCCAACACCTGGATTAGGGGAACGGCAAACGATTTGGTCCTTTTGTCGGACTTTTTCTTTCTCGGTGGAGATTCTGTAATACAATATTTTTAAATTTAAACTATAGTTTAAAAATGTTGATATATAAAGTTACCTAGTTTGTCGCACTTGTCCGAGCCGTCAATATTATCGCCGCATATGAGGTCAACCATGTTGTTGAAAATGGACTTGATAAAATCGGCCAAATGCTCGACACGATTACTGGTACAGATTGGGTACCGTTTGGTTCGATCGTGAAAACACTCGTATATTTTAAAGTATTCGCTGTGTTTTGTTGTATTGATATAATTAAACAAGGAACAATAATTACAAAAAACTTATTAAATATTTATTATTTAATATGAATATAAACCATAATGTATTTTAAATAGTAATTTATTAAAAATATATTTTATAAAATAAAATTTTATTACAGTATGATAGTAAATAATGTTGCTAGTTTTTACTTACCAACAAATGTGGGGAATGCGTTTGCTCTCGTTGGCGTACCTAGCACCTTGGAATGAGTCTATTAACTTTGCGTGACACTTTGTAAACTAGATTAAACAGATAATATTAAATATGTATTTTAAATTAAACACAGATATTAAATTTATTAATTATATTTACTTCACTGTCGGCTTTGTTAATGCATGGTGTGCTGTATATGAGCTCGGTCAATCGTTTGGAGTCCTTTTTGCAGTACTGTTTTATGGCATTTTTTACCGCATACACCAACACACCAGTCACTTGTTTGGGCAATTTGACCATGCACTTTGACCGATACTCTTCAATCTCGGATATATATTCAAACGATTGCCTTAAATAAAGTAAAAATATTAATTATAATATTCATTTTAAAAAATAATATTAATAGCAATGTATATATTTATATGTTACATAAATAATTAATCTAGCTTGATAAAATAGTACATTGCAATATATTTTACTCACTCGCAAAACACTTTCAAATCCTGACCCTTAGTCTCGGGAAACTTGCGGCCAGAGTTGCCAATAGTTATGAGTTTAGCTACGGTTGCGTCAAAACGCCTGAGCCCTCCGCTATCGCACGGGTCTCTCGTGGCTGGCCTTTGAGCCCACGATACTGTGCACAACAATAATAACAAAATTGCACGATGGTACATTATCGCAAACATAAAATATGTATTATTTTGCGTAAATAACGTATTAAATCAAATTTAACAAGTTGGTTTTGTAAAAACTGTAGCAATATAAATTTAGCGATTTATATAACAGAATATGCACTGTTTTGGTACTATTTTTGAGACACTACTCAATCACTTCTTATTATGTGCTTTCTTTTTGAGATAAAATTAGAAAATATTTTTTTTATGGAAAAGTATTTTTTGAGTCATTAATGCAAAAGTCATTTAATCCTTAATTTGTTGCCAAAATTATCGGTTATTTCTGTTATTAGTAACAGAGAAACAGGTATTTATTGGTATTTAATCTGTTTTCCATAGCATTTAATGTGCTTTAGAGAGAGAGAGAGCAAACGCATTCCCCACATTTGTTGGTAAGTAAAACTAGCAACATTATTTACTATCATACTGTAATAAAATTTTATTTTATAAAATATATTTTTAATAAATTACTATTTAAAATACATTATGGTTTATATTCATATTA